AGTCAGAGAAGCTTAGAAGTAAGGGGAACAGTGGAATATTCATGGAACAAGAAGCCCTGAGTTCCTGCTCTGACTCACACAAGCCATTTAATCTTTCTAAGACCCAGGCTCTTCACTGTTACCACATTTTTGGGAGCAGCTTGAAGGTGGCGATTATATATTATTTTTCTTTTGGAATCTCTTGAGGGCAAGAACATGTCTTTCTGTTCATTGTTGCACGCTTGAAATGGCAAATGTTACCGATGTACTGTACTACTTAGTATAGATAATACATATTTGTTAAATGAATAAATGGATATAGAGTTTGTTGTGTGCATATGTGAAAGAGGGATACTAATATCAGCCTTACCAGTCACAGGGTTGTTGAGGGGGTCATACGAAAACATTTATGTGACTGGATTTTATCAACTGAACAAATTCAAGGTTTTCCTATTGTTATATTTTAAGCAGAACATGCTGGTTCCATCATCTTTGCTCTTAATTGCATTTATAAATATATCTATAGCATTTTGAATCATTCCATCTGCTTTCGTCTTTTTAGACAGCAACTGATTAAAAGCTGTTTAGCTCTAAATGGCTTTATATACTTTGAGCTACAAATGTATTTGCCCCATCTTGATATCTAATTAATTAAAAAAAATCTTGTGCTAAAGACTAGACATATGGATGATTAGGTCGACTACCACAATATTTTACTGTTAGGCTGATTATCAAAATATTTTATTATTTTCAAGAAATAAGGTCTTCCAAAGGCTCTGTTTTTTTTTTGTTTGTTTGTTTTGTTTTGAGCTTCTTATGAGTGGTTAAGTGCTGTCACAAAGAGCATTCAACTTGATGTATGGGGCATATTATCACAGGGAAGTGTTGTGTCATATGGCATTATGACACTTGAACTCTAGGGAGAAATTTGGGTACAGTGTCTGGCCAATATGTTCTAGCCATCTTCCTGAAGCTGCCTAATGCTTGCTGTGTCTTGATCCCAATCCTCCCAAAGCACCTTTTTCCCCTTCCTACCAAGTTTTGAACTCCCACTGATGCATCATTAAAAGCTGGGATAGATCCTAGGAGACCAGAAAGCTATTTCTTTGGATTTTACGTTTAATTCTACTCCAACTTCTAAAAAGTGAATAGGACAGCTATCCTGCCTGAAATAAAACATATTTAATTTTTTTTCAATCATGTGGTCAGAACTTCTTATAATAAATGAAATTCCTGTTACTGTAGTTTAAACTCATTTTGTTTACTGACTTGAGAGGGAGAAAAAAGGAAAGCTTTCCATGATACCCTAAACTTTTTATATCTGACAGCTCCATTATAGCAAATTTCTTTGGACTGCACAGATCCAGTTACAACATGATCTAAATTATGTCTCCAAATGCATCATAAAAAAGTGGTTGTCCCAGTTGCTAAAATAGGAGGTAAAAAGGCTTTTCTATCAATAGCTCTTGGAAGATTGTTAGGCCACTTCTTAGAATAAATAATCTGTGCTCTCAAGGAGCAAAGCGAGGTCATCTGTGGCTCGCACGCTCCTTGCCAGATACTCTGAAATCACACTCTTCCTTGACTGATGTTCAGTGGATCCCAGGATGCTGTACTCCCAGAAGCTCCCTGCCTTAACATCTGGCTATTTCCTGTTCCTCAGGATTTGCCCTCATTGAACAATACTCTTGCTAAGTTACTGATGCTAAAGAATGAGAATGGAAATTGAATTAGTCAATCCTATGGATGTAGTGAATGACTGGATTTTGAAATCTGGTAGCTGAGACATCAAGTTACTAACATTTACTTTTCACTCAACTATCTCAGAATCACATAGATATTGCTTAAGCCCACTTGATAGGAGCACTTCATTCAGAAGAAAAAGGCCAGTGCTAGGGAATTTCAGTCTCTTAAGAACTGTCAATCAACCATGACTTTTCACTGTGACTATTACTCTAATTTTTGTCTGACTCCTTAGAGGCAGTGCTGTCTGAAATAAAACACTTCAGTTAATTAAGTACCACAGTTCTTCCTCTTCCCTCCCGCTTCCCTCTACATCCCACCTAGACTGTTTATGAAGGACTGGTCTTCGTGTCTCCTAACTTCTAAAATGGGGTTTTAAAGGAAATCAAAACAAGTTACCAAAAAGTTTTATGACTCTGACAAAGCTGTGGGAGCTTTTTAAGGATTTAGAAATAGGTGGTTAACAACTGGTTATGTATTACATTGTTTAGACCAGATATCCCATCTGGGCAAAACTTCTAATTTTCTAACTTGAAAATTCTACAAAACATGTGTGAAAAAAAAAAAGAAGAAAGAAAAAAACATGTGAATTCTTGCTTAAAAGCTGACGTTCAGTTGAAAGTGACAAAAAACCATGTATCTATTTAGCAAATACGACCCACTTTGTTTTTAAATAGTGCCATCTTTCAACAGCTTTGGTATTGCTTTTATAGATATAAAAGGACGAACAAAATATTTCATTAGTATTAATATTTAAAATATGGAGAAACAAAAAAGTAATTTGAATGACCTAATCAATGTATTGCCAAACAATTTATACAGATTTGAGTAAGGAAAATGGAAAAATGAGGTAACCCAACTACAGGTAGTTTGCGTTACTCCTAGTCCAAGTCTGGACAGGGACATGGTGACTGAGGTCAATACTGTTAGACCATAGGTACTTTGCGGGGTGGATAGGGAAGTGTCAGAGGAAGCAGAGGACGCTGGATTAAAGACCATCACATAGCTACTGGGAAAGAGACTCTGTGGTTGAGATTTGTTTTCCGCTCTCCCCACTCTCATCTCCTAGGGTTCTTCTAGATCTCAGTTCTCTTTCCTTGTTTATACCACTGCTGTACTTGACCCTGGTGTGTTTCTATTGCCCACTAGCCAAACACAATTGTTTGTAAAGTCTCTTTCACTTGAGCATTCACTAGCATTTGAGAGTCAGAATAAAAGTCTTGAGTCGTTGAACTTTATTTTAACATGCTCATTGGGCGTCTTGTAGATTTAAGGTATGTTGTGATTCCGACCCAGCCCCTTTATTTGGATTTTCTATTTCTGTACTGCTCTTTTCTTGGGTCTACTTGCTAATTGTTGACTTTTTTTCTCTTCCTTTCCTCTTCTTCTACACCTTGCCTTCTCCCTTTAATAATCTTCTGTTCGTTCACTGATTCTTCTCTCATTGATCCTTTTCTATTTGCATTTTGAACACTTTTTTCCCCTCATTAATTTTAATTTCATCTACTACGCCTGGAGCAAACCCAGTCTTCAAATAATAGTAATATATATTATAATATAACTTAATGGGAGCATTGAGCACATGCAATAGCAATGCAGGAATTCTTACAGCACCTTCCCACTGTGCTATTAGCTCGAGACACAAAATAAGCAGAAAGAATGGAGTGACACTAACCTCCACTGTTTTATCATTTTGCTTATAAGTACTTCTGTTGGTAAAGAGCATAATTCAGGTAATAAAATCTGACAGAGTACTATTTCATAGAGGCAACAATATCCTGCAGAAAATGAAACTAGGCGGGAAGTCAGGAGGTGATGGCTCCTGTTCTTCCAAACACTGGGTAACCTTGAGCAAATAACGGCTGCAATGTGGACCTCGCCTTGGTTTGCTACTTTATAAACTGGAGATAATATTTGACCCTAATATCTGATAGATCTGGGTTAAAGATTAATTTGCTAATATACGTAAAAAGCCTTTGTTCTTTAGAAGGGGAAAAGTGCAATGTAATAATTCAGTATTTATTATCTGTTCATCAGATAACATGATTTAGTGATTCTATTGCACAAAGAACAAAAGCCTTTATCGCCAAGTTTGGGTCAGCCCACTCACTCTAGGCTGCAGAGCCTTGGGAACCAGCATCTGTGGGACCTCATCAATAGTGGTCACTTCTTACATAGTCTCTCTTTGTCTAACCAGGCTTTTCTGAATCTTCCTCTTACAAATGGATCTGTGCTTCTCCGAAGGCCCTGGGCAACCACAGGAAAGCGTTCTTAAGTCTCTTCCTCAAATTCTACAATGACTTGGAAAGCAGAAGAGAATAAGACAAGAAGTGTGTGTCTTTGTGTTTCCAACAACAGAAAGGTCCCTAAGGAGAGAATCAAACATAAGAAAAAGGGATCTATTCTCTTAGTCACTGTTCCTCAGTTAGTCACTGCAACAAGGTGACTTACCCATCTTGGGTCCTGATGGGCGGACGTGAATGTGTGAAAGCCTATTAAACACCCAATTTCATGGCATACCTGCTGGAAAAATAAATTTTTTCTCTTCTTCCTGAATCAGTTTGAACCTACTCAGAAAACCTGCTGATCCACTGGGACTATGAAATACTCTGCTTAAGAGGCACTTCCACTAGTAGCCCATTTCCAATTTATAAAGTTCTTCTGTTAGTCAGTTCATAACCGTGAAAAGTTCCTTTAAAATCTTTGAGTTCATTTGTAACTCTGAGGAGAACTCTATGAATATCCTGAAGAATCAAATCTCTTACTATTGAACACATTTCCAGATTCACTTAATAACGCCGCTCTCTCAGAAAACTTTACCTTTTTGCCCTTCTACTCCCTGTTACTGGGGTTAAGAAAATATGAAAATGTCTGTTAATAAACAAATTTAAGGATTCCTTCACTGAAAAAGTCCATAGCAAAAACCAAATGTAAAATGAATAGAGAGGAATAACAAACTCAGTATTTTAGATCCATTTCTTGATTTTTGTCTAAACACAATGTGACCAAGAAGCCTCCACTTATTTTCATGCATATATACTTATATATATTTACACACACACATATACACTTAAATGTATATATTTAACAACATGGAATGGTAACCTATCAAATGCTTAGATTCTGTGCAAACACATAACCCTTCCTGTGAAGGGAACGTATTAATATTATAAAAACAAATCATGGAGAGTAACATGCAACAGCAGAGGGGAGGATGGGGTGAGGCCAGAGGACCAGGAGGAACACAAAGAATGTAAAGAACAAAAAGTGTCATTGACCTGATTTGTCAGAGTTGTTGCCTGTGATTGGAGTGATGGAGCAGCTGGGATTAGCCTTTGCGCTGTCCTTGGAAGAAACCATTTTGGGTTTATTTTTCGTTGCCTCTAGTGCTTTGACCTTCTTGGCATGTTTACTTCCTTTGTAGTGGGCCTCGGCCTGGCTCTACAAAGGAGAACAAATCAGGCTCATTTTTCTGCTACTTACAAACAGCACAATGGATGATCATGCAGGAAAAAAATACATTCAATCATAGGCACCACAGACATTTACAGCTCAGCACTCAACTATGTTTTTGGCATTTAATGAATAGTAGACCGGTGTCTAAGCGTTTTTTGCATATTGAAACCTTCTATACAACACAGATGATCTGTGTCTTTCAAAACCAGACATTATACGAGTGGACAACAGGGTCAGGACAAAATTGGGGCGAAGGTGAACTTTGTCATTAGTGCCCTCCCACCACTGCCCATCGGGGTTACTTGTCAAACGTTTGGCTGGCAGCAAGCCGCTTTGAGTGTCCTACCCGGGCGTGTCCTTCCACAGCCACTCAGTTTCGTTTCCCTTCAGCTACAAATCTGTCTTCCCTGCACCTACGTTCCTCTTGGCTCTGCTCTGAGAGCAAGTGATGTGACAAAGCAACCTGCTAGTGAGTGGAAATGGCACTACATTTTGGAGTTATCTACACGCGCTTCATGTGTCATTTTGATGATTCCAGTTCTAAGAATACACGATATTAGCCACAAAGGAGGTAGGGACAATGCTTGTTTCTGTTCTCAAATGTGATTCTGAAGTCAAAGCAGTTAGTATTACATTCACTTATACAACAAGCATAGGTGAAACTATGACTTCAGTACTAGATCAAAAGAAAGAAAAGCGATCAAGGCAAGTGAATATTAAAAATTTTCAAAAGACAAAAACAAATTACAGCAAAACAAGAAAACATTTAGTCAATAAGCTGACATTTGGAAAATTCCCCTCTGCCTAAAGAATAAGGATTTTATCTTTTTGGGAACTAGTATAATGAACATCTTAACAAAAGAATCTAAGTATACTTGCTTCAATTTCATTTTTAATAGACCCTGAAAATATAAACAAACTAAAACATATATTATATGGTATATTAGCGTAGTTATAAAGGTGAAGAGGATGATAAATCTGTCATATAAAATGAGTTTCTGTTAGAGGATTTCTAAAATAATAATAACTTTTCTTCTTGCATCAGTTTCCCGTATATACACCTGTATTTGTTTGAAGATGATTATACTGATATTTTCATCCATTTTCCTCAACAAGTAGAATACAGGTGGTATGTATGTGTGTGTGCATGTGTGCATGTAGGTAGGAGTGGCAATGGACAAAAGGAGCCAGGTTTTAATTCTACATTTCAATTAAAGACATGTGACTTTCCTAGCACATAACCCCAATCACCCAAGGTCAACAGACTTTTATTGACTGTACACAGTCCCTAACTTCCTGAATATCTTTCCGTAAATATTGTTTTAGACCACCATCGACTTATCATGGCTCTTGGTTCGTTTGCTCAAGGACTTCTCATGCTGTTCTCTGTCAAGTTGAAACACAAACCCAATCCCAAGAGAGGAGAAAAGTGTAACATTATTTTGAGTCTTATCACCCTCTGAGAATGGTTAAATCCAGCAAATATAGTTGGGTAGATATAAATTAAGAAAATATACAAATAAAAATTTTAAAATTGATAACATGAAGAAATAATAATAATGGGTGATATTACTGAGGCTCTGACAAGAACAGCTCGAAATGTAATACATGTTTCTCTCATGTAAGCTTCACAGTGCCCTGTGAGGCAGGTACAGATAGAAAACTGGGCACGAGAAGCTAAACAACTCATCCAAGGCCACACACATAGGTGGAGAAGCCATTATGGGGATCTGAAATGCTTATGTGTATACTCCTATTTAACTGTATACCCGCACATTAGACATATACGTACTCACACTAAGTAAACAATATAATTTTATTAGAAGTAAAACATTACACAAAAATTACACACAAAGAAAGCACACTGCTTTTCATGACTCAGTGAAGGATTATATTTTAACAGAAGTTTCTATGAGTAGGGAATACCTTCTTAATTCATAGGAAATATACCAGTAGAGTACATTAGGCTTGATCCTTCTGTTGAGAAGCTAAGAAAGGCCCACTTCTTAGGTATGTAACAATTTCTACAAGATATCAGTAGACCTAATAATTCATCTTTCCAAGTATACTAAACAGTGAGATGTTACTTTAGTGAGCTTTGGCTAAATAAACATATAGTTCTCTAAATAAAACCTCCTAGCACAAGATGAGCAGAGTGTCATTTCCTCATTACTATTTCCTGGCATCACTGCAGAAAGTTAACAGTATCAATTAGCACTTGGGATAAAGAGCCAGCTGAGTGACACTCACTGGATGCCAAGTTGGAAAGAGCTCTCCAGAGCCATGATTCACTTTCCTTTTGAGTTCTGAGGCATTGAGAAAAGCGAAACAAGGCTTCTTTAGCCTCTACTGACTACTGTTTGGGAAAGATCTGGAATTAAGATAGTGGCAGACACCACTCATTCACACTTGGCATCTTTCCAGTTACCCTGTGGTATTCTTGGTAGTAGCACTATGCTGTCCTCAGTACTGTATCTGAGGTGTCAACAGCTTCTAAATCCTGGGCAAATCTTCAAGTGAAACAGAGACACTGTTAAAATAGTAACATGATTAACCTGCCTTCGTTATCTGGGAATCTCCTTAATTGAGGAATGAAAGAAACAAGGACAAGAGCCAGAAAACCAAGGAACCAGGCAACACAATCAAGCCCAATCAACGATGGTTCTTGTATCACTTCTGAGACACTTGGTTAACCAAACAGACTTATAATATTTTACACCTCCGTGACTAGTCAGCAGACACCTATTTGTCTAGCACTAATGGTCTGCTTTCTGATTTCCTCCCAAAAGTGCTGCTATACACCCCAAACTGGCAGTGATCAAAGAAACCCCTTGCCAAGAATTGCCAGAATTAGAGAGCTGCCCAAACCACCATATTGACCTCCACACGGGAATTCATTGGTATCTAAGTTTTTCTTTCAGCGGTCACTCCAGTAGCTACCTGACCACCCACTGGTAGAGGAATAGCTTTGACAGGAAATGACATTTTGGAATTTTCTCTTCCATTCATCCCCATCTTTGTTACTAAAGCCCCTCACTTTCCAAAATCCTGTACATCTTTCAGGACCCTACTGGTCCAAATAAAAAAGATAAATAATGAGATAATGTATTACTTTACAAATAAAAATGCAATAATGAGCAATTCTATAATTCACTGAGCTCCCATTTCTGTTTTTTACCTTATTTCTATTTTGGACTTCAGAGAGGTGGATAGGATCTGAAACAAGATGTTAAAGTGTGTTTACTTTGTATAGAAAGAACAGTCCAAACCCAAACTGGCAAGTGGCTGGGATAGAGTAATGTCACTGGAGAAAGTTCTCAGTATTTATTTACCAATGGACCCAATCTTTTTGCATCTTAAAAAGTAATTGGAACTGTTCCCTTAATTACAGAAAGTGTATCATTAAAACTATTGGCATCTGTTTTTTTGAGATGTTAGATTTCAATGTGTTAAGCAGTGTTAGATGGGAAAGAGCAGAGGTCAGTTACTTTTCAGATAAAAAGTATATACTCTATATACTAAAATGCCAAATAAAACAGATGTCAAACAAACTACCATAAAACAGGCTAAACTAACAAGGGGGAAACCTGATTATTTATTTCACAAAGAATTATTTAGCACCTGCCATGTGCTAGACATTGTGAAAGATTAAAAACAAAGACCCCTATTCAGAAGAATGGTAGTTGGAAGAAAAGACAGACATGCAAATAACTATAACCCAAAGCAGAGAGTAAAACTGTAAAATGGAAGGTAAACTGGTACAAAGAAGTATGGGAGTCAGAGGAGAGGTAAATTTCTGCAGATTGGAGGGGGATCCTGGAAGCTTCATGGGAAAGGAACATCAGAGCTGAGCCCTGCTTCGGGGGCAGGGTGTTGAAGGGTCAGTGTGCAGGGGGAGGCATTTCAGGTAGAGGGACCCGCATGTGCCAAGGCAGTGAAATCCTATGAATTATGCAGTGTTTCCTGGGCACATCTGCTTTTCAGTATCACTAGAACACAGACATATAAAAGGAACAACAGGGAAAGCCTGCTGCATCATGCTACCTCAAACATTATTGTCCCGTGTAAAACAGAAAACATATCATAGTGTTCTACAAAGGTTCTACTTGTAGGCATCTTTTCTATAGATGGTTATAAGAAAGATGTTGCTTTTACATCACAGATTTTATCCTCTGCTCCAAACTATAATCCTATAGTCAAAGGACAACTAAATTATTTATATAGAAGATTTAATCATTTGAGATAAAAGCATGGCACTTAAAATACCATAGTTAAACATACTAGAAACAAACTAGAGATTACTGAGTAATAGCTAAATAATTACTTGAATCTTTGCTTTAACATAAGGCTACATTCAACTCTTAAAATGCTTTTTGCATATGTTTGTCGCAGTGATAAGATCACACACTCTCAGAGACAAAGCTACAACATAAACATAAGATGCACCCAAGAGAAAGGCTTACTTAATCCAAAGATAAGTCTTTCTGCTGATATTTGCAATGTTAAGGCCTGCAATATCAGTAATGACATACTACTGGCTTTGATATCACTTCGTTCAATCCTCATCTACTGGGATCTGTTGAAAACAAAGTCCAGACAAAATTATAACCGTTAGGAGATTTTCAGTTCAAAAAGACACAATGTCTTTGCTAATTTATAATTTACAGCTAAGTGAAACACTCCAGGTTGCTATGGCCTGTCCAGGGTTGCCACACTGTACAACTGTGTGCGTGGGGAGCACCACTCACATATGGTTTAATGTGAATGGTGTCGTCTGGATTCCTTCAAGGCCAGAGTTCTGGCCATGGCATTTCATATTTACTGGCTTTGGAACATGTATGTATAAAACCCATCAACTCCAAATCTTTCTATATTACTAAAGAGAAAAGTGGTGACTCCAGGAAGAAAATAAGTACACTTTAGACTCTGATTCTCTTTGGGCCCAATTCAGATTCTATCAAATATCATGAAACAGAAGTAGAGTG